AGACCTGATTTCAACAAAGAACGATGACAACAATGGACAACAGCGACAACAATAGACAATTATAAAAAGGCATACTGATTTCTTTTTTTTTACCAATTAAAATAGGATGGCAAAAAAAAAAAAGTAGCAAAAACAGCTAGATTATAAGGTGAATGTAGAAAACTAAAAACAGGAACATGTCTGCATTGGTCCTTGCCAGGAGTCCAACAGATTCTTAAAGACACGTCGAGAGCTTCCGATATTTTTGCAAGATATTCCTGGAAACAGGAGCGGAGTAGGAGAAGGCCCATTTGCCAAGTTCAGTCCACACTGAGGGAACACTGCAGGTAATAATGTCCTGATAGCGTACGCTGTATTTTCACTCACGCAGACACGTAGGAGGAGATGTATGAAGGCAGCAGACCAAGAAGTGATTTAAAGATGAAAATGTACCAGTGGGAGAGTCTGTGTGAAGTTAATGATGTATATATGTAATGATGTATACCTGTATATAAATATTATAAATAAATATATCGCTCATAAGGTGACTGTGATGATGCTTTCTGTGTGCTCCTATTAGCAAAATATCTCAAGAATATGAGTTGACTTTCAAAGTTCTTTATTGTCATTTGCATCAGATGTGGTACATGAGGTGGAACAAAATTGTGTACACAGGGTCCCCATTACATCCAACAATAGCAAAAATATAAAGTGTAAAAATAAACTGTAAATAAGGATCTAAGATATAAACTCTGCTAAACGAAATGGTACACTAAAAAAATCCAAGATATATGCTAATCACTAATAGTGCAAACAATACACAGAACAACAGCAGCATGAACACGAGTCTTTGTGGGTAGATGAGTAAGAATGAATGAATACTGATGAATGAAATAATCAGCAACATGAGATCATCAGCATGGATAATCAGCAGCACATATCATTCATTCAACCTTTATTTATACAGGTAAATCCCATTGAGCCTCGAAGACTCATTTACAAGAGAGACCTGATTTCAACAAAGAATGATGACAACAATGGACAACAGCGACAAGTCATACAGATTGTTATATTTTTTTTAAACAAATAGGATGGCTAAAAAAAAGAAAAGCAACATAAAAACAGCTAGATTCTAAGGTGAATGTAGAAAACTAAAAACAGGAACATGTCACCAATCAAAGTTGCATAACTGATTTTTTTTCAGCCTGATTAGGGATTTATGAGTCTGACAGCTTCAGGGTAGAAGCTGTTCCTCAGTCTAGTGGTTCTGCACTTAGTTCAGTTCAATTCAGTTTATTTATATAGTGCCAAGTCACAATCTCAGGGCACTGAACAGAAACATAATGCTCCGCAACCAACTGCCTGAGGGGAACGGGGCAAAGAGTGTGTATGCTGGGTGAGTGGGGTCCTTCATGATGCAGGTGGCTCTCTTCCTACATCTGGAGGTGTGTTTGTGATGGCGAGGAGGCTGACTCGAACAGTTTTCTGTGCAGCCTTCACTACTCTGCAAAGCTTTTTTTTCTGTAGCTGTGCAGCCTCCATGCCACACGTTGATGCTGGAGCACAAGATGCTTTCAACTGCACACCTGTAGAAGGAGGTGAGGACTGAGCTTCCCAGTCTAGCCCGCCTCAGCCACCTGAGGAAGTAGAGTCTCTGATATTCCTTCTTGATCAGGCTGGTAGTGTTGTTGCCCCAGGGTTGTCATTCAGGTGCACACCCAAGTACTTGTAACTAGACCACTTCCACCGCAGATCCTCCTATGTTCAGGGGGGTGTAGGTGAGTTTGCTCCGTCTGAAATCCATGACCATCTTCTTCGTCTTCTTCACACTGATGTGAAGGTTGTTCTTCCTGCACCAGCTCTCGTTCCACCTCCTGCTGGACTCATCGTTGTGATGCATCCAACCACCGCTGTATTGTCTGCAAACTTTACAATATGACAGCCTGGATGGTTAGGTGCACAATCATATGTGAGCAGAGTGAACCGGAGGGAGCTCAACACACAGCCCTGAGGGGGTGCCAGAACTGAGGGTTATGGTGAAGGAGGAGAAGTTGTGGATCCTCAGTTTTAATAAAACTTGAAGTAATGGATGGATGGACGGCCAGCCAGCCAGACAGATAGAAAGATAGACAAGACAGACATCTAAGCATACATATACATATGGTTGGATGAATGACTGGTTGACCTTTGGAGTCAACCCAGCTCAAGATGGCTACCACAGCCAACTGCTTTTAAAATAAACACAAAAATAGCTATAGCTTAGTCAGTTCTACAGATGTTAAGCTAAAATTTGTTGTGGTAGTTGCTGAGACTTATCCCCAGCACATATTTTAAGCCCTAACTGATCTCGTGAGATCTCTGTTTAAACGATCCAATTAAATATTTGGAGTACAGTACTGTAAACTACCTGTTAATAAAATATCTCAAAACCAATGGGTTTTAATGAACCATTCAGGAAACGAGATGCATTTCTACAACTGATTAACTTTTGGAGCCAACCCAATTCAAGATGAACGCCAAAGCAGCTAAAGTTGGAAAACACAAAAATGGCTTTAATTCAGTTCATTTAAACAGATATTGGGCTGCAGTTTGGTGCGGTTGTACATTAGACACATTTACAGGGCTATTCATTTATGTTTATGAATTAAAATAACCTGTGCAGAGCTTAAAAACAAGATTAACATTTAAAAGATGGAACCTAAAACTATTTTAAGAATTGGTTGATCTCCTGGCCAACTATTAAGCAAATACTGTGTGTGAATAATTCAATGTAAATAAATATCCATACATATTTTCCTTCACCATTGAAATTTAGGAAAGAAATTCTGCACTTTTTTTTTTAAACAATAATGTAGATCAGTCAAATGTAAGCCCAAGATATTTAACTAATTTACAGAAACAAGCTTCTTAGGTTAAAATAATTCAAACAAATCTTTGGTTTTATTCTGGACAAAAAACAAATAGTTAAAACGTGAAACTTTAGATGGCTCACTTGATTAGAAAATCACAAACCAATATTTGTTAGGTAATTATCTCTGGCACAAGGGCTGCAAAAATAAATAAATATATCTATATAGCAGTTTTTAAAAATCCCAACCAAAATTTTCTTAACGATGCATTTATTTTCCTTACACAAATAAATTTTAAAGAAAAAAGTTCAATGTTACTTCTGAATTAGTGACTCAGATTTATTTCACTTTTTAATGCACTTTGGAATACAGTCAGTTTAGTCATAAAAATAAAATTAAACATCTAAACTTCCTTCTCATCCTGAAAAAAACCCAACAATATAAATACGACATTAAGTGTTATTTAAAAGAGTTCTAAAAGACCCCAAAAAAAGTTGTTTTGTCAACTTCTTAGGGTTAACAAGGTATGCATTGATGGTTTCAAAAAGCAGTGATTCAAGTGAGATTGTATGCAGGAACGTGTCAACGGAAATATGTAGCCTTTTATAGCTCGAGGCACTGAGGAAATTTCAAGCAGGTCCCATTGCATTAAAATAACAGTTAAAAAAAAAAAAAGATTTATCTTGAAATGTAAAACAGAACCTTCTTTTTGCATTTACAACAACAGTGGTGTATGAAATTGTACAATATAAAACAATGGTTTTTGAAGGGAAAGTAAAAAAACTAAATATGGAGTTAAGTACTTGTCACGGGGAGTGGAGGTGGCTACACCAGCAGCATTTTGATACATATGAAGTGTCAGTAAATAATACCTATTCATAGGTTGTAGCCTGTTAAATACAGAAACGTTTGAGACAACATAAAAACAGGTAAAGCTTTGGTGTGAACACAAACACACAAGAGGAAAATGTCCAGCATTTGTAAAAAATTATACACAAAAGCGTAACTGAAAACACTGATACGTTGTGACTTTTAGTCCCTTTCTGTTAAGGCCACTGGAATAAATAGCACTTGTTTTGAGAACTGCGACCTGGTTATTAATGGACCTTAGTCTGATGATTGTGGATGCACGCTCTGCTGCATTAAAGATGTACGTATTGGGTTAACCGAAAGAATAAAAGCGAACGGTTTGCCCTGCAGGAAGGTTCTCTCAGGTAACTGAACAGGCTGGTTTGAGACTGATTTGATCATCTCAAAAGTATTCATACTTCAAAGAGATGTTGCAAACAGCAGGGTTGGACTGAGGACGCAGTAACAGTCAAATGTTTTGTCGATTCCCAGAATCATTTTCAGGAGGGAAGGAGTCTCTGGCTATCTAAGGTGTAGAACAACATACACTGCCTGGCCAAAAAAAAAAAAGTCGCCACCAAAAAAAGGTCACACTAATATTTCGTTGGACTTCCTTTAGCTTTGATTACAGCATGCATTCACTGTGACATTGTTTCAATAAGCTTCTGCAATGTCACAAGATCTATTTCCATCCAGTGTTGCATTAATTTTTCACCAAGATCTTGCATTGATGACTAGGCACTAGACATGATGGGTGCATCACTTCACCTGCCTCTCTTCTTACCTGATGCGCCCATCACTCTGGAACAGGGTCAATCTGGACTCATGAGACCACATGACCTTCTTCCATTGCTCCAGAGTCCAATCTTTTATGCTCCCTAGCAAACTGAAGCCTTTTTTCCAGTTAGTCTCACTGATTAGTGGTTTTCTTAAGGCTACACAGCTGTTCAGTCCCAATCCCTTGACTTCCCTTCACATTTTGTGTGTGGAAATTATCTTACTTTCACTATTAAACATAGCCCTGAGTGCTGCTGTTGTTTTTCTTCGATTTGATTTCACCAAACGTTTTAAGTGATCACCCATCACGATCATTCAGGATTTTTTTCCGGCCACATTTCGTCCTCGAAGACGATGTGCCCTCACTATCTTTCCAGTTTTTAATAATGCGTCGGACAGGTCTTAACCCAATTTTATTCATTTCTGCAATCTCTTTAAATGTTTTCTCTGCTTGATGCCAATGATTTGACCCTTCTCAAACAGACTGACATCTTTTCCACGACCACGCGATGTGTCTTTTGACATGGTTGTTTAAGAAGCGAGAAGCAACTCATTGCACCAGTTGGGGTTAAATAACTTGTTGCCCATTCAGTAATTATCCAATAGGAGGCTTGTTCCTATTTGCTTAGTTAAATCCAGGCGGCAACTTTTTTTTTTTTTGGCCAGGCAGTGTAGATGGAGCTGAGTTTCTCTGCAGGCCCTGGAGGGTCTCCTGTTCTTGATGTTGAACTCTGCCGGAGGAGGGTTTGCATTGTCCACGAAGTGTCTCGGTCTCATTGCAATGGATTATCAAACACAGAGTCCGGTAGGATGGAAATCTTCAGCTTCTTCTCTGGCCAGCTGTACTCCTTGGGCAACTTTGTCTAAACAAACATGTAAGATACTTAGTGAAACAGACATGCACGCTGAAAGTAAAAAACAAAACAAAGAGGTTTTACATACCTCATCACGAGTGTTGAGCTCTAGTAAATCCCCTAACATTTGCTCCACAAACTCCTCAGTCAGCAATATCTGTGCAGGGAGGGTGGAGAAAGTCAAACAAATTCAAAGAATCGGAATAAAAACTGATAAGACCTAAGATTTATAGTGGGGCAAAAAAGTATTTAGTCAGCCACTGATTGTGCAAATTCTCCTAGATGAGAGGTCTGTAATTTTCATCATAGGTACACTTCAACTACGAGAGACAAAATGAAGGGGAAAAAAAATCCAGGAAATCACAATGGAGGATTTTTAAAGAATTTATATGTAAATTATGGTGGAAAATAAGTATTTCATCAATAACAAACAAGCAAGATTTCTGGCTCTCACAGACCTGCAACTTCTTCTTTAAGAAGTTCTTCTGTCCTCCACTCGTTACCTGTATTAATGGTACCAGTTTGACCTGGTTATCTGTATAAAGGACACCTGTCCACAGCCTCAAACATTCAGACTCCAAGCTCAACCATGGCCAAGACCAAAGAGCTGTTGAAGGACACCAGGAAGAAAATTGTAGACCTGGACCAGGCTGTGTTGCCCAGCGACAGCCCCAAAACATCACTGCTCTAGAGGAGATCTGCATGGAGGAATGGGCCAAAATAGCAGCTACAGTGTGTGCAAACCTGGTGAAGACTAACAGGAAACATTTGACCTCTGTCACTGCCAACAAAGGTTGTGTTACAAAGTATTGAGCTGAACTTTTGTTATTGACCAAATACTTATTTTCCACCATAATTTACAAATAAATTATTTAAAAATCCTACAATGTGATTTCCTGGACTTTTTCCTCATTTTGTCTCTCATAGTTGAAGTGTACCTATGATGAAAATTACAGACCTCTCTCATCTTTCTAAGTAGGAGAACTTGAACAATCAGTGGCTGACTAAATACTTTTTTGTCCCACTGTAGTTATGTAAAAACCTGAAGCCAGGGGCCGTGTGCTGCAAAAGGATGCTCCTCAGTAGCAAAAGCTCCTTCCACTCCCGTAGAAACGAATGTGATGGCAGTGTCTCCGTTGATACTTTTATAAGTAAAATGTCTCCCGTGGAGTAACCTGCCCCTGCGCAAAATTAAATACAACAGTATGATATACAACTCCATGTTACACATTCAGTAGATATGTTTTTATATATATATATACACACACACACACACACACACACGTCTCTTTTGTAAAGAGTCCTTGAGGCTCAATGAGACTAACCTGTAGAAATAAAGGTTGAATGAATAATCATTTAGTTTAGCTACAGGAGAGCATTGTTTTCCATGGATTATCAGATTATTATCAGATTAACACTGGCTCTATAGATGTGGAGACGTTTTATTTTACGTTATTTGATTAAATTCGTACAGTGTAGCCTGACAAAGCTTTCTATGCGAACAACCTGCTCAAGAGTCGCACAGTTTTAATATTTTGTTAAACATAAATAAATCTGCAGTGTTTTTAACATTTTTTTAATGTAAAAATGCTCATACCCAAATAAGGAAATTAAATTTCTCCGTATGTAATTTGTAAGAGTCTGAGTTGTAAAAATTAAAGACTGAATCAAGTGAATCTTAAACTTCTTTGCGTGGTAATTATTATTTCAACACAGATATGGTTCAGGGTTCGGTAAACGGCACAGTTTTTGAGTTGAGAGGAAGAGTCTATCAAACTTTGAGGTGAAAAAAAAATAAATAAATCAAACCGATTAATGAGAAGGTTAAACTTTATTTTCTTAGCTTCAAAGTCGACAGATCACCATGTGAACTCAAGTCTGCTCTGTTTTAAATAAACTCTTCCTCTCAGCACATACCAGCCTGTAGAGGCTGCAGGAAACGAGCTGCCTTCACAACACGAGACATCTCATGACATTTTAGCATCACAAGATCTCCTCACACCCATAAGTATGTTTTTATTTCTCTTGGGGAAAAAAAAATCTGCTGGTTGTATTTGTGATTTTCCAGTGGAGTGAGAATGTGTCGTACCGCAGGCAGAGGGGCAGAAGTGTGCCCGACTCTTGGTTGAATTTCAGATGAACGCTCTCCAGCTGCCGTGTTCGGACCAACTCATGAGGAACAATGGCTGCTGAGCTTTCACTTTCCAAACTGTCCTTGCGACTCCTGAAAAACCGACAAGAGACGATAAAATACACAAGGGTGGATTTCTAAATATGTACAGTCACTAATGAGCTCACGTATTTTCTGGGAAAGGAAATTACAAAAAAGGAAACGGTAGGCCCTGTCAGTAAATAGGAATGTGCTGCTATTTCGCAATTCTTATGGAACGAATTCTGTAAAGGCTCAACAAATTCCACAGAAAGGTGGAAACATAGTAACGACAAACCCACACATGCTGGTATCTGAAAACTATGATGGTAACAGCTCAGATGTCAGTGGGGCTCTGAGTCACTGTACAGGATGGGGGACTTATCTTCCTGAAGCCCGTGTGCTGAGCAGAGCCCCATGTCAATGTGCTTATGTGTGGGAGGAGAACTCACGGAGCTCTCTCCAGGCTCTGTTTCTGGCTGCTGATAGGTGGTAGTGCCGTCTTGCTGTTAAACTCTAGCCCCTTTCTCAAGGTCTCTCGGATCTGCTCTGTATCTGTTATCAAATTAAGAAAAATAACTCCATTATTAACTAGAAAAAGCCCAAGAAGCAGCTTGTTATGTTTTAATCCTTTAGGCGTCAGTGCACCTTTGTTGGAGAGCCTGCGCGGCTGTGATCCGATGCAGATCGATCGGCTGTCCTCCTCATCGTCCGGTGGGCGACTCAGATCATCCCACACACACTTGGCGCTGACCCCACTCAGATTAGAGCCCTCAGTTTCAATTCCCTGATCCACTCTCTCCTGCTTAGATGAGCAAGAAACATATGCAATCATTAACACTAGCTTAAACAAAAGTCCGAGCTACATTCTTTACCAATGAAAACCGGTTTAATGATTTCTACATGCTATTAGGATTACTGTGGTGAAGATACGATTCACAATTGCTTGACCTAAAAATGGCTTAATTTAATCCATTTATATTATAACTTTGTTTATTTTTTTATGGATATTTTCAAAAATGGGACAGTCCCTTGAAATAAACTCGTACAAAACATCACTCAAGTTTAACAATCCCAAATGAACCAAACATACTCTTAAAACGTGAAGACACAGTGTGAGTATTTGATCATTTCTGTGAGATGTATCTTAATAAAAACAAAACAATGCGGGTGCGACTGCCTGTGTGCAAATTTTATTAAAGCCTTACTTGTAAGTGTGGATCGATTTCAAAAATAGTTTCTCCTCTCCTCATGTCTGTGATTAGCCAAGGGCCGCCAGCTCTGTACACAAAACAATCATGAATTTTAACTTAAAGTCAAACACAAAACATTAATAAGTGAACACATAATCCCATTCTATGCCTTCTCGTTTCAGTGTATTCATAAAACTGGTCTGTACATTTTAAACTAAAGTGGTAGCCTATTTTAGCATAAAAAATAAACATGTCTAAACAGATACATTGTGAGCTGCTCTAATAAGGGTAAGTTTTATTAAAATTACCTAAACCTTTAAGGAATATAAGCACAACATCTTGTTTGACATTTCAAGATATATAAAATATATTTTTTTAAAAGTTCTGTTTAACCAACAACTATTTGTAAAGCTGTTCTGTTCAATTGTTGCAAATCCAGAGAAGTTACGTTCTGTCACAAGACAAACGAGACACACCGTCATTCATCACCTTAAAAGTATTTCTCAAAACTAACCTGCTTACTTTTGATTAATCAACACCCACAGTGAAACAAATCTTTTCCCTTCAATGTTTTACCCATTTTGTTATGATTCAACGCCTCAAAACAGATTCAAATCATTTTTTCCCTTCAGTGTAAATACAATGCTACATAATGACTCTTATTGCCATTTTTGTTGACATTTATCTAACCATTATCATGATTAGTCAAATACATCAGAAAAGCAGATGAGACAGATAAGCTCACACACTAAAGTGGGGTTAGCTCATTTATTCATTCAGGTATTCCACTGACATCAGATTAAAATGTATTAATTTTTCTTTTTCTCGTGAGTTTATTCAATAGCGCCAAGTCACAACAGACGTCATCTCAAGACACTGAACAGAAACATTCATATATAAAATAAGTTAACAGAAACATTCATATTTAAAAACAATAATTTAACACTATTTATGTAGGAGCAGACTGCTTTGAGTTTAACTCCATCGCAGAACTCTCATCTTGAGTAAGCATGAAGGCGACAGTGCAAAGGAAAAACTCCCTCATGAAGAAGAAGGAAACCCTTAGCTTATAGCTTTAGCTTATTGTTTTAGTTTAAATGCAACAATATACAAAGATCAGACATAACATTATGACTACTATGGTCAATTTAAAACACTGCTTGTTAATCAGCTTAAGGCAGATTCCACACAGTTTTACTTACACTTGGATTCCTCGCATCAGCTCTAAGATGCCCTGGCCGTTCCACTGTTGGGCCGCCTGCAGCTCCTCAGTACAAACTCCCACAATCTAGAGAAAGTGCAGAACCAAAGGCTGCGACATTAAAATATTTAGACTTTCAGAGTGGTTTTATTTCAAGATCTTTATATTTCTTTTTGAGCTACTTAATATCAGTTAAACAAGCAATTGGTCCCATGATTGCTCATTGTTGTATAGTTTCAAAACAAATTTTCACCTAAAACAAATTCAAGTAGGCCTGTCACGATAACAAATTTTGCTGGGTGAGAAATTATTGCAATAAACGATAATATTGTTTGATATTTGACAATAATTAGTAATTATTGTAAATTTTAAGAAGAAATTTTTGTTAATTTGTTTTGCATATAGTACCTTTTTGAGACCACCAGATGGCAGTATAAGACAGTTTGAACCGAAGGATGGATAGTGAGGGAGCGAGCACCTTGTCTCTTTAAGAAAAATGGGAGGGAGGCCCCTTGATGCGACATGGGCTGTCTCTCTTCAGTTCTCAAAATGGCGGAGGTTCGGTGTGGTTTGAGCTCTTTAGCATAGCATTTTTCACACCAAGCTTTTAATAAATATCAGTAAACAACTTCTCAGCTTCTTTTTGTAGAGAAAAACTTTTTTACAAAAAGACAGGTTTCAACTGTGAACTTTGGAGCTTTGATAAGACAGAGGTTTTTTTCCCCCTGAGGTCGGCTTTTTAGCTTAGCTCGTATATTAGCTTCTCAGCTTAGCTGCTTTTAACGATCCATAAACATGATTTTGGACGGTTAAAACAGATTTTAAAGAGAAAGGGAGGGGGTCAGTGAAGAGCACCGGAGTTGAGGTTTTTGTCATCCAGCGTCCAGCAGAAAGAGACACGAAGAAACGATAAAGTTGATAAATGAAAACAAGGTCAATAATATTCATTTATCATGCAATTAATTGATTTATTGTTTATCGCGACAGGCCTAAATTCAAGAAACTAATCTTGTCCATTTGCAAGATGGAGCTAGTTTGGCAGAACTGATGGTTAGGAACCAGGTTTATCTGAAGTTAGCATTTAGCAACACATTATAGACTGTGCTGAAGTGGAATGCTCTTCCATCACGTCTCCCTGAGAAAACCTTACAGACAGTCCAGAACATGGCAGTTTCTTTGGTGTTAGGTCATCAGAAAAAAAAAAAAAAAGAGCATGTTCTTTAAAGCCCTTTTTACACCACAAGCCACATTAACATGTTTGTTGAGTAAATGCAGTCTCTTACGGCTATGAAGATGAAATCAGAAGCATGAAATAAGACAAAAAGGGCAAAGTCACAATTTCTTAGAAGTGCATATTTCATGCTACAGAGAAGCACATATGACATGTGACTGGGTTTGATAAAGAAAGACAAGCAAAACAAAAAGAGCAGGAGTTTATTTTACTGTAATCTGCTTCAAATAACCCTGTCTGCATTTTCAAACCTGTTGATGTACAAACTAAGCTTGTTTCCACTGTTTGAAGAAAAAAGTTTTACCAATGTTGACAGGCCCAAGGGGCTAATGCCATAATTAAATCTGCTTAAGAAAGTCTGTATTTCATCCAAATCCATTATTTAATTCCTACAGAGTTGTTTAGACTTTGTGAATAGAACAAACGAATAAAAGGAGCTTTATGTGGAATGGAGTTATTTACTACTATGTGAATGACACATATTTGAACTCACCTGGAGAAAGCTCACTGTGCCAAATGGAGTTTGAATTGGTTGCATCTGGGGGTCTTCTGTAAGCAACATGTGCTGTATACGAGACTCACTGTTGTCGAGCGGACTGTGCCATGACACATGGTCACCGCTACAAAATGTGTTTTCTGCAGAAGATAATAAACAAAAGGGAACATGTTATTACTCATGTTATTCAGATAACACACACGGTCATCGGTGCACATCAAATACGCTTATTAAATTCAAAAATAAATGGCAAAAAAGTCCCATTTTATTGAAGTAGTGTTACAGTAACATTAAAAGAAAAGACACAGATCAGCGAGAGAGTAAGAAGAAACAGAAAAGAACAAAAACTGAGATCCAGATGTAAAATAAAAATAATAAAAACTACATTTCCATTTGAATAAATCCAGCTACTTGGGAGGTATTGAGTACCCAGTTTAGATTCAGAAAAAAAATATGTGGGAGAAAATGGCCAGGAATCAGCATTCATTTAGCTTAGAAGCCCACCCACATGCAAATTGACCCCAGCTGGATAACAGAGCAGGGAGCCTGGAGTGAACACACACACACAAATGAAGTTGTAAATTCAAACATACTGTCAAAGTATAGAGCTCAAAACAACACTTAAACCTACACTGATGTCCATAGCTTGGTTTTCAATTTAGATGTGTTCCAAAAGCTTATTCTATATACTTATAAGGACTTGACTGACAGTAAATTACAATGAAATATTGCAATTAATTTAGTCCTATGAACAGAGTGCGTACATAGTTTGTACACCCCTGTGTACATAGTTTTGTTCCACCTCATGTACCACATGTGATGTGAATGACAATTAAAAAAACTTGAATCCTTGAGAGCGCAATGTTATAAAAAAGAAAATCATTATCTTTTTTTCAAAAATATTTTTTGCATCAGATTCATAATGTGAAACTCACAAGAGTACAACTGCTCTTTAATCTTACCGGACTGGAACACATAGCGAGCCAAGCCTTGCATGAGTTCGGCTGGCCATGTTGGAGGTGCCGTCTCTCCTACCTCTCTCTTGAGTCTGAAAGTGAGCTCAAACCCAAATCCACTAGATCCATCTGCCCCCGAAAACCTGAAAGAGACAGATGCAGCAAGATATCAGGCCAAAAAACAACAACAGTATATTTGTTTTTTTACATTTCCTTTATTATAAATATCAAGATTAAGAGGTGTCAGTTGATATGTGGGCTGCTGTTTTCCTGTGAAGTGCAAATTTGCTCAAACTGAAGGGCTAAATGTGATGACATCCCACTTTTTCTATATTATTAATTGTAACTGAACGTTTATTACGTATGTGTGCACTTACTCATGTACACGATTATCTCCATACAGGTCACTTAATCCAAAGCTTACATAGTGCCAATGTTCCTGGACGTCCTGAGCTGGACAACCCATGTTCCTGTACATGCTGATGTAGTCTAGTGGGTCTGGTCCACCAAGCCTGTTAAAAATATGTAAAAATAAAACCACTGACCATAAAGATGTCCTGTTTGTTTACAGTGGTAATTACTTTAGCTCGATTAGAAACACTTTACATGCTAGTTTTAAACTAAATAGTGGTGTGGTGCCTTCACGTATAGGCTTTTATTTAAGCTCGTATAATAGTATGGCAGTAAATGTACTGAGCTATTGAATTAAAACAGCAGTAGTAGTTTGCAGCGAGCTCCAACTCAACTGCAAGTTAAGTTAGCTGAACGTTAGCATGGAAGCTAACAGTAGATTTATATTTATTCAGCCATCGCTACACAAACGTATTTTGGAAGCTCTGAGATAGTATATATAAACAAACCAGCATCAATACAATTCGTTACCTACCAATATTTAACAATGGCAGTAACTTGCAGCGGGTTGGCCTGATCGGGGTAAAGTCGCCGAGATTCCCCATAGATAGCCTGCAGTCCGGGAGGAAACAGCGGCACCAGCCCGTGGGCTGGCGCACCGCTGGTAGGCCGTATTTCATCCATACCACGGCCTCAAACAAGACAAGTTATTCTATAACAAAAACAACAAATATGTAGTTTCAAAATGAGGCGAAAGTAAACCATAAATGGCTCGCAAACAACGACTTCCGTCACTGTGAACTCGGACCTTTGTGCTAAACTCTGCGGGGGCCTGTTGCTCATCCTGTACAAAAAATACTGCTCAGCCATTGGTTGGGATGGGACGCAACGTCATTGATTGATGGGTAACTATAGCCAATGAAAATGAAAGACAAACTTGTGGAGGATTTTGATTGACTGATCCACAGTCAGTAGGCGGACCCAATGTCAGGGTTTTCCCTCAAAGAGTGCAAGTTTCTCAGGGTTTAAATTACAGCTGTGATGATGTTTCGGCTGTTTTTATAAACTGTAGGCTAACTAAAGTGCACAGCTAATGGTTTTTAATAAAGTTGTGAATTCACGTTTTTAAAAAAGTGCTATTAGAAAACATATTTTCAAAAGAGATGCAGTACAATATTCCTTTTGTGAATATAAATAGATGTGAAAATCCTTGGGAACTGATGTGTAGGTCCCATAAATTTGATTCTGAATAAATTTAGTTTAACATTTATTGTTTTTTATTTATTTATTTTAGTCTAAAAAAGTGACTCATAATTTATAATTTTATCCATTATGATTAATAACTTTTTTGTTTTGACTTTATCACACTACATCAATGTAAAGCAGTCATTTAAAGTATTATTTAAGAAATATATATGCTCTTGAGCAAAAATAGTTACTATTTCAGGTTGCTTTGAACCTTCTTTTTTATCTATACAGTATATGGTTTAGGTATTTAAATTGTTAACTACTAAAAAGTATTTCAAGCAAACAAAAGTTTTAGTCAAGTCCAGCATAATCTAGGTGTTTGACCACATTCTTGTTTAGTAAATCATTTAAGCAAAACGATTTGGAAAAAAGTCTGAAAATGTCATGGCAAACAACTTGTTGCGACATTGGCTTAACTGAATTAGTGAACCTTTCACTGTGTCATGATGTAAAGGAAGTCAATGATATATATATATATATAAACATATACATTAGGTTTAAATAGTTTTAGAGAAAAATTAATAATAAAAAAACTGAGATGCACTATTATGTCAGAGAGTGCATATATTCTTATCCAAGAATAGGCCTTATTGTTTCCCAAGTAAGCAAAGACAGCTGAATGGTATGTTTTGTAAAAATATTTTATTATAGAAAATGAAAATGTACATAGACATAAACTTGACACATAATGAACTTGCAGTTCCCTCACAGACAAGGGTGTACTTTTTTCTTAAAATCATATTAACATGTACAACAATAACAAGGAAAAATGTAAAAAGCAAAAAAAAATTTTCTCAACCTTTATTTATAAAGGGTAGTCCCATTGAGCCTCGGAGACTCATTTACAAGAGAGACCTTATTTTAACAAAGAGTGATGACAACAGTGAACAACAAAGACAATAATGGACAATTGTAAAGGATGTGTACAAACAGATTTTTTTTAAACAAGTGAAAATAAAATGGTAATTTAAAATGTCTCTTTGTGATACAGCTCAGTCTGTGTGGAATTAAAAATATGCAGCTTCATTTACTTTCTGCTCAGTATGACGTCAGTCATAGCAAAGCATGTGAGATGGTGAAAAAGTCCTGATACCTTTGTTACTCATCTAGAACTCCTTAATAATAGATGGTATGAATTAAAATTGTAAAGACACATCATTTAACAAGAGAGGACCTGGTTTCTGTGGATGCAAAGAATAAAAATATGAAAATATGTAATCACTTTTCACCCTGAAAGTATCAGCTTTATGTTGCTGTTAGGATTAAATTTACATTTTCTGTTTCAGACTTGACAGTGTTAGGTAAGAAATGAATAGCAGGTATAATTTTGAATCATATTACAGATATTTCATCACTATCGGATCAACTTTGTTTTCATCACATTACATAGTTTCATGCACAGATCCAACAACAGTTTAAAATCTTTAACAATTCTCTAAAGTTATTAATAAAATAGGGTTTAAAAAAAATTAAACAACTTATATATTTTACAGTTATCATAGAATTCATTGTGTTTGCAAAGGCATTAATGGGTGTTTTTAAAGCTTATCTCTTATTTTATATATTCTTGCAGATTTTATAGCTAAACTTCTTAAACAAGAACAGTTTCAGTCAGGCAAAGTACAAACTAAATATTTTTTATTAAAACAAATCCCCTCTTTTCATATACATATAATCACAGTTACATGTTTATTAAAATGATGGTTTACATCAACTTTGATAAAAACCACAGCAGTTAATTGAAAATGTTTTTAATTTTTTATTTAAGCACGTCAAAAATGAAATAGTCAAAGTTTAAAATGTGATGTAACATACAAATAAAAAAATATATTTGCTGGTGAAACAAAGACTTACATTACTCAAATGTCAAATGCTTTTACCATGGTATGCTTGACAAACTAGTACCATGCCAAAAGAACTGAGCCCATAGATGACACCTGGAGATGCCACCATCTATGGAATTCAGTTCTCATAGTAGAGCACTTATCAAAATGAGGAAGCATCTTGATCCTTGGGGGTCAAAATCTTTTGAGGCAACTCATATCTCAGGATTAATGTTCTACTTGTTGAAGAGAAACTAGAAATAACCAACGCACAATGTCAATTAAAAAAAGTTTACACTAAGTTTAGCAAGAAAAAAGTGAGTTCAATAGTCGACGGAACTTGGTGGGTAGTATGACTGTCTTGTCACCCTTCCTCATTTCTTAAGAAACCCAGAGCGATGGTGCGATAACGTCAGCTCTACTTTTCCAGTGTAAGATCGAACAACAGATTAACAAAGTAAAAACATCAAAATGTAACTTAAACATAGGGTAAATCACAGTAAAACCTTCAAAAGTGTAGTTATGATTGAATTGATCAGCTTTGGGGTTTACGCTAAGTTTTGAAACTCTGAGAAATCCATACATCTCTTAAACTTGAGAAACCCTTTGAAAAATGCAGCCCCTGAACTGAAAGTGTGTCTTTAAGGCTGATTCGAGTACCTCATCAAATCAGGGCTTTCCGGTCAAGGAATGAAATGACTCATCAGTTATGGCTGTGCACTGCCAGTAAACGGACTGGGGAACATGCGATCACAGACATGCAGGTTGGTAAATGCGTTTTTAAGCCTGACAGCACAAGTTGAATATTAACTGGGCTGCAGTGCATTACACAGATTCTTTAAACGCCGTTTGAAAAAACACCTCATTCAAGGCCTGGAGTCACTACACAGACTGACAGTTGAGATCATTGTCCATGTTATCTTAATGACTGGTTTATTCATTAAAGACCGTGCTCTGGTAAAGAGCACAGTTCCAAACAGTGAACTTTCTAAGGAGGGTCACACCTAAACATGTTCAGGAAACTCAAAACGTTCCGGCAGTTGAACTTGGAAGCAACCGGTTCTGCGACTTGACAAATAATAATTTGAAGTCATCAGCGAAGTCTTAAAGTCACCACAAAGTCAAGCAGTTTTTGTCTCCACATGAAATTGTTTAGCAAATGAGCGTAAAGCCACTTGTTTTATTTAGCCGTGGAAGTTACGTTTCTTATTCAAGAACTCCAGAGTAAAACATCTAGACTGTTATTTGCAATTTCTACAAATCTACATACCTGAGTACTTCACTGAAGACATTTTTCCAGATCCAGGATTTATCAGAAACAAACCTCCTCATTAAAAAGACAAAATTTTACCATTAACAGCTTTAAAACACAGTTCAGTAGTCCTTGTCAACAGAAAGTTATTAAGCCTTTAATCAGCAGCAAGCTTCTTCCATACTGAATACACACCTCTTCCTAATTCACCTGCATGCTCTCCTCCCTCGTGACCTCCAAATCCTAAAGGATGCAGCACAATGTCTGACATTCAGAGCAACTGAGCTAATATATATACACCTTTCCACATCACATTAACCTCCCTCCCCTGCTTTTTATACACTCCCTCTGTACGGTAAGCCTGACAGTCACTTCCCAGTAACAAGGAAGCAGTGGGAGTGAACACCACACCCCCTCACAGTGAATCAACACATAATAGTTTCTGAGGAAAACCATCCGACATGTCCTGCCCCCTGTTCCCATAAAGCAAGCAGGGGAAAGGCTATGTCTACCAGAGGAACCAGGAATTCCCCTGGAGGCCACAAACAGCTGGCGAGATGAGAGACGATGACGGAGCTGAAAGTTTGCCTGGCCAGTTTTTGCAAACAGAAACCATGTTTGCTGTATTTTCATACACATAACAGCATTTATTACAGTATATCTGCATAATAAGACATGGTGGGAAAGTTGATTCACACCTGTGGATGTGAAAACACACAATCATGTTTGACCTGCAGTTTCCTAAAGGTTTTGGTGGTTGTCAAATATTTATTAGCAGTGCAGCATGTAGCTCTTTCATCATAGAAACATTCAGAATGAGTTTGAGAATATTATCGTACTTAGCTGGGGTGTATTTTAGAACGTCACCAAATAAAACTTTGCTATCCAATCGCAATCAAACCAACGGATGTTGGAATGCTTTCCAATAGACCTATTGTTTAGTGACTTGTTCCTCGTCTCCAGGTATCTGCTAACCTTTAGTGCAAGAAACTAGTTCAGACTTGATGCATTCTTCCTTAGAAAAATCCCTGTTAGAATAACTCAGTGGATTTCCTTGTTCTGAGAGAAAAGGGGATTCCACGTGGCATTGGAAAAACAAGTGTACAGTAGTTCCCTGCCCTTACTTGGGTAGACGCCTATGCATATTTCCAGGATGTATACACTTCTAAATGTGTCAAACATTTTATTTTAAGGGGTCCCATCAAGATTATGTACCCAGCAGCAAAAAGAGGTAGAGACCCCACAGAATCCCATTCTCTTGATGTGCAGTGACACTAGAATCCACTTTCAAACTGTATCCTTAGGCTAGTGGGATAAGTTGCAATTGACATTTCGCACTGGACTGCAGAAACAAGCCTGGCTTTCATGCTGGCGTTTAAACATGGGGGAAAAACACTCGCAAAGGTCACTGAGCCCATTTCCTTTCTTTCCTCCCCATGCATCTAAATACCTGCAATAGCCCCTTTTAACTGCACTTCAGTTCCTGGCATATTCAAATTTCTATACAGGAAAAACAAAACCACAGTGTAGACGTTGAACGAGCAAAGACGAAAATAATTTTATTACAATTTTTCCTTGTTTTAAGACTTTAGCGATCATTTGTTACATGAATGAACAAACACTAGCTCATCAATACATCAGTTTCAACATAGAGTCCCAGACAGTCCTTGATCAGGTGTCCTTTGGCTTTTTGAAATGCAGCTCTACTACATGTCTCTGGAGGCCATCTTCTCCGTCCCACAAGTGATCCAGAGAGAAAATTCCCCTCTGCTCCACAAATGTTTCAAAGAGATGTAGCCCACCACCAACACCAAAGTAGTGTGATTTGGTGGCGAGGTAGACCAGACCATCAGGCGCCAGCAGCTTGTGGAGGGTCTCATGCAGAGCTGGGTAGTACTCAGTGTTGTAGATAGTCTCTGAGGTCAATATTATGTCAAATTTGGGCTGTGAGTCAACCTTGAGAACCAAAGGATGAAAGGTTCTCCAGTCACCAGAAAAGAAACGACATTTCTTGAGTAACGGATGCTGGGAAAGGTCCATAGCACTTTTTTTAGGAAGTGGGCTGCCATCCTTTTTTTCATCCTTTTTCCGATCCTCTTTCACTTGGATTTTTCCCTCGTCCTTCCCTTTTTGGTCATTGTCGCTGTCCACCTCATCATCCTCTTGAAGGTTTAGCAATACATTTGGAACTGTGAGCTGTTCAATGACTGTACCATTATAATCTTGGAAGTAAACCTGCCTGGCTCCTCTCTTTAGAGCCAGAATTCCCAACAGACCTGCTCCACAGCCCAAATCCAAAACTGCCTTTCCCCTAAATGTCTCTCCATCTTTCTCAATCAGTTCCAGAAGGTCATAAGTGCACTCCCACACCTTCAGGCCTCCCTCGTACAAGCCAGAGATGAGGTCAGACTTCTGCTCTGCACTGTGAGAAAGAATTTTCTCCTTGTCCTCTCTCTCCGGGGCTGTCCTTTCAAAGACGGTCTCATTGAGGAAGTGCAGAGGAGGAAGAGTTCCGATGGTAACTGTTTCAAAAACAACATTCATGAGGAGGAAGTGTGGGTCAGATGGTGGAAGGTGCTTTTTGGCCTCTTTAACCGGCCTTGCTGTTTTGTTACTATCTTCTGTCTGCAAAAAGAAAGAAGTATAAATGGTTAGAGAACAACATAATCAACAATAAGCGCAATTTTAGTCTGAGGTCATGAAGACTTGAATGAAATTCAGCTTTGCAGTTAAAATCAGACATCAACACAGTAGTTTGAGAAACATAAAAACCTAGTATTTGACGATTGCAAGGATAGTGAATTGTAGAGTTCCAGTCTAATTGGAACTAAACCTCTACAGTGTCATCACTGTATTCATCCAGCATGCCTATATTCAACCTTAAATACCATATATGTAAAAAAATATAGTGATAGCTAAATAAAAGATTTAGTCTAAAGCCACCATTTACCTTTCTGAGCTAGAATGGGATAACACAGTGGTACATCAAGGCATAAATTAAAGAAAGATGACCCATGGTGTCTCTGGATAAAAACAGCTAGTTTTCAAGTAATAAAAATAGGGGTGCACCGCCCTAATTTCCTTAATTTTGGGAAATCGGTCGATACTATGAGAAACTGATTTTACAGATTTTTTTAGTTTTAACAACAATTGTCTGAACTTCATTTATATTTCAGAGCACAACCTCATGGTCAGTTAAAACAAGTTTGTATTGTTCAAGGGTATGTTTTTCAATAAAATAATATTGTAAAATTAAAGGTGCATTGTGACTTATAACACATGACAGTGTCGCTTATGAAACAAAATCGGTATCGGCCAAAATTGGAATCAGCAGGTCAGACTTTTTTGAAATCGGTGATCGGCCAGAAAACTGCAATCGGTACAGCCCTAAATAAAAACATTCAATAAAAAAAAAACTTTTGTAAAATTAAAATGATGGACAATACACAAGTATCATCATGGAAACTTTATGTGAATAACCTAATAGAATTCAGTTAAAAAAAAAAAGACAAGTTTAAAAAAATATTAAAACTAATACATAATACATAAGAACATATGAACATAACATGAACATAATATAACGTGAACATGTTTACAAAATTCAATGCATTCTATAATTCTTGTGGTAATGTTAAAACATGGTTATAAAGCTTCAGATAACTACGTTAAAACTGATATTGGCTCCATAATTTAGTGACAAAAGAAAGTGACATAAAAGGTTGTGGAAAAAACCCCCACTAACATTGAGAACAATCTACATGTTCTAACAGGTAAACATAATTAAAACAAGCTACTTAATTTTAATATGTAGGTATTATTTTTCTTCTAGACGCAATGCTGGCTGATTGGTTGGTGTGTGGATTTAATCATCACACCGCTGCACATCAATACATCAGCCATGTGATTCACTGTGTGACTTAAACACTATTAATTAACAAATTATGTTTGTCACACCCACAGAAAAGGAACAATTCCAAGGCAAATAATGCTAAGGGTTTGTAACATGTCTCTGTACAGTGGAGTCAATCACATCTCATGTCTACTTGTAAGCTTTGCACTGACAAGTCAAAAGATTATGAACTGACGCTCTCTTGTGGAAGCACTGAGCACATAGCTATAATTTATCAGCTTTACTGCCTTCTTCTTCTTCTTCTCCTGATCCGGGGATAGATTTAATTCAAACAGTATAGCTAATATTAAATGTTTAATTTAGTTAAAAATGCTAAATAGTGATAACTTATATATATAACTGATTATTTAATTAGATAACACAAATAATAAGTCACTATTTAGGTTGCAGTTTCCATATGCAAAATTTAGTAAATGCATAATAGATACTTTAGAATAAGTATTTTTTAAACTCAAACAAACAAAAAAAAGTAAAGAACCGATATAATACATATAGATGTTTTTAATCAACATTTTTTTTTAGTGTTAATTTAAGTTCTCAAAATCTGAAACGTTAGTTTGTATAAAAATAAATTTGTCTCCTCAGGTTGCCAATTTTGTTGACATACATATTTACGTACATATTTGGTTTAATAAAAGCATTTAAGAGAATTTAAAAATATGCATCTTCACTTATTTTAAAATAGTCAAGACTGTTTTTGTTGTAACCCCAAGAATTAAAAGTAAATTTGGCACAGTGTATGTTAGATCTACTGATTAACATTAAAACTATGTGTAAGGAATTAAATTTTTCCAATGTTTCTGTTGCTTGTTTAGAAATCTTGTGTGTGTTATCAACAAGTTGAATCAAGTCATTTATACTTGACTATCTTTGTCATTGAAGTTTATGGTTTTAACAAATAAATTGGGATAAACTGTTTGGATGTGAATATATTTAAATAAAACGAATAGCAAACAATTCTTTAGGTTGACAGAATAGTTCCCTGGGATGGTTTACAAAGACTTAGGGAAACTCTTTTTGTATTTACGACATATAAACTATGAAGACCAACGTCAATGCAAAATTAGCCCAAGAACTTCTTGACAACTGTTACTCACACATTCAGCATCATTATCTTTCTTTCCGTTTTCTTGTTTATTTCCATCCTCTTCGTCGTGGGTTGTTGTTTGTGCTGGAAGGTCAAAGTTAAAACAAAACGACATGATGACTGATACCACCAAACCAAGCTAGTTTGAGGTTGGAAGGTTCCCCACGTTGACCTCGCTGTCGCTAACGCTAGCCATAAACGGCGTAGCATGGCTATTCGTGGAAGAACTTCAAATCCCACAATTCTGAAAAATATTCATGACCCACTTTACATTTATGTTTAGCGTTTAAACATAGTTATTATACATATATTTGGGTATATATATATTATAAAATGGCTAAATTATATATTGATCTGTTTTTGGTAGAAAAACATAACTGGTTGCAGTAATTATATTTAATTCCTGACTCGGACTACCATGATGCATCTCACTCATCCAGCGCATGCGCGTTAACTCCAGGTCTGGATACGGATCTTTTGACTAACAGGTCGCCTGCTCCTCCTCTCAAATCACCCAGGAATAATCCCGTGTTGGCTTTAATTTGAAAATGTCGAAACAACTGGGGACATCGACGGATTTCTCGTCTCCGTAGACAAGTGAGTATTATCAATTCCATTCAAATTATTATCAACATATGACATTAGCCGCAGCGCTAAGTCTACCTGGAGCAATGTGACATCAGGACAAAAGGGATTTGGGAGTGTTATGTTTCTATCAGACTATCTAACAACGTGAGTCATCAACTGTTTTACTGTGTTTTCGTGGGGCGACGTTAGATTTGCGTTATAGTTATTATTGAATATATTTTAATTTATCGATGAAGTGAACCAAAATAGTGCTATACAAAAATTAACTCCACTTCAGACCACTGTTCCACCCATCTCATGGAAATACAAGAACCTCCACCCAAACTCCTCCCTGTCAGGAATGCAGCAAAACAAGGCTGCACATTTTTAGCTTGGCATTAACAGATATTTGCTTGATTATCTTTATTTTACTGTTGACTGCACTTGAGTACACCAAGTTTTTTTGTTTTTTTTTCCATTGCACATTCCATCATGAGTTTATGTTTGGGTGTCAAGGCAGTAAAACGTCTGTATTTTTTATTTTTTGTTGTTGTTGTTGCAGAAATTCAATATTGAGAGTGAACCAAACTCAACCTCAACCTATGACAAGTCTGATAATATGCTTCTTATTCAAACCCCTCAAGCAAAAATCCAAGCATAATTTTGGCGTCAAAATCAGATCTTATCTTTGTCCTTGAGGAAGAAATTCCCCTTAAGTTGTACGTGCAAAAATGATGCACGCATTGAAAGCGCAAAAGAATAACCTCGGGGTTTGGATTGTTGGTGATCAACATTTTACACTGCAATTTCCATGATTTTTTTTTTTTTAACAGACCAACGAATAATTAAATAAATTATATTGTTATGTTTTCCAATTTATCTTGTATATGCAACTTGTTTTCGGTTTATTAGCAAGATAGTTATTTGTGGAACAAGTTTTATGACCTTGTCACTGTCTCTTTTCTCTGCAGTTACGATCTTACTACAGATGCAGGATGCGGTGCTCAGCACTCCACCTGCTGCGCTGTGTGCGCTCGCAGTTGGGTTGCAGGCGAGGAAGGATCAGACGGCCCGTGTGCATCAGGAGAATATGGGCTTACGTGAAACTACTGGTTCAATCGCTTTGCTTCAATTCCCTCACAGACTCTGATGTAGTTTTTGACTCAGTTTTTGAACCAGTGTTTGTGACAGTGGATTATGTCACCCGCTGGTTTGGCTTGGTGAGTTTATGCTTCTGCACAAACTTATTCAGCTCAATTGAGTTTATTTATGTAGCGCCGAGTCACAACAGAAGTCGTCTCAGGGCACTGAACAGAAACGTTTATATATAAAAATAATAAGTTAACACTATTTATCTGAGGAGAAGACTGCTTTGAATTTAACTCCATCGCAGAACTCTCATTTTGAGCATGAAGGCGACAGTGGAAAGGAAAACTCCCTCATGAGGAAGAAACCTTTAGCAGGACAAGCGGCCATCTGCTTCGACCGGCTGAAGTAATAATTATTACGTACTTACTTAATAAGTAAGTAATAATTATTGCTTTACTTAATAAATATTAGTGTAAAACATACCCACACAACTTTTTCAGTGATACCGCCATTATTGTCATGTATGTGGTCGATGGGAGTCATTCACTAACTTAGCTTACAACATTTTAAGGACACGGAGAGACAACTGCATATTTTGTATCCTACTTTATAATTTTTATACTGGTTTTTATGATATTGCAATGAGTATCTTTCAATTTAAGTTGATATATTTTAAAACTATGCAAATAATTTCCTTGGGGTTTGATTATTTTATGTTTTTCTTTTCTTTTTGCTGTAAGGTATTTGTTTGTCTGGTGGTGATACTGACCAGTTCCGTTGTGGTGATAGCCTATGTAGCGCTTCTGCCTCTCGCCTTGGCCACTTACCACCCGGCGTGGATTGTTTGGCATGTGTGTTATGGAAACTGGAACCTCATCATGATCGCTTTTCATTACTACAAAGCTGCCAAGACTTCCCCTGGATATCCCCCTACAGTAAGATAACCACAGCTGAGTCACGAATGGCTTTATTTTTGCTGCTATATATTTTTTTAAGATGCCAAAAATCTCTTATTTCAGGAAAAAAACGACAGGCCATTTGTGTCGGTCTGTAAAAAGTGCATCACGCCCAAACCAGCAAGAACACACCACTGTGGTATTTGTAACAGGTGAGTAAATGGAGTTTCTTTTCTGTCCTGGCACTTCTTTCATTTATATATTTTTATTTTGAATCATTTATGCATGATCACAGCCAAAATTATTTTAGATGGAACATATTTTGTTAGCTCCAGGTCTTGTTTGACTCGTATAAAATGTTGAATTCTCAGTCAGATTAAAACCACTTAAAATACTTTTTTTTTTTTTGTTTCGTCTTTGCAGGTGCATTCTAAAGATGGACCATCATTGCCGTATCTTTTTATGCATCAAATATCTCATTTGGTTTTATGATCTCTGTCAGAAAATGTGTTTTGTAACTTTACAAAAGAATGTTGCAAGTTTTCCCTAACATTAGCATCTCAGCCTGGCTGAATAACTGCGTGGGTCATTTTAATCATCGTTACTTCTTCTCTTTTTGCCTCTTCATGACCTTGGGCTGTGTCTATTGCAGCATCAGTGGCAGAAACATTTTCCTTGATGCATATAACGCTCTCGAGGTGAGATAGTTGGACTGCTGATGTCTGTGTGTGACCCTGTCGTTATCTTTAATTCTGCATGTGCGGTACTTTTATTTTCCATGTGGCTAATTTTTTACTGGCACTTCCTTGTTTCTGTCTTTCAAACTGGGGTTTGTGTACGTGGGCTGCTCCTTCAGCACTTTAAGCATTTGGATTCAGAAAAGCCAGGCATTCCTGTAAAAGGGATGGGACTTCTTATTGGTCTTCTCCCATCTGGGCAGGTATCTTCTTAACGTCAAACCATCAACGGCTTGATTAAGTTAGTGGTATCTGTTTTTGTGATTTAATGTTTCCTTTTTTTTTTTTATGTCAAGCCCAACTTTCAGACACCTGCTCCTCCATACACCTTTAAAGAAAAGATGTTTCATAAGAGTATCATCTATATGTGGGTGCTCACCAGGTAAGACGCTTATTTTATTTGCCACATCTAGTATCACCCATTATTAGTCAATTCTACAGATCACTCCAATGTGTGTAAGCTGTGTGTTTACATTGAAAAAAGACATAATAGTTATACTCAGAAATATAAATTCTAGGTTTTACCATAAAAATGCATCATTTAAAAAAGTTATTTAATAGATTATAATGTCCCACAAGTAAAGATGATTAACTTCTAAAAGCAGTTTTGCCTTCTCATAATCTCATCAAATGAGCCAGAACAACCAGTACACTTTTGATTCGTGCAAAACTAGAAGGTTCAGTGATTTTTCTTCTACAAGTTCCACATGTACCGTAGTTTATCAGAATTATAAAAGGTTTGTTTACACTGACTGACTTGACCGTCATTGAAACGAAATGTGCTTTCTTCTTGTAGCACAGTGGGAGTGGCACTGGGAGCGTTAACCATTTGGCACGCGTTTCTCATATCCAGAGGGGAGACCAGCATTGAAAAACACATTAATAGGAAGGAAACAAACCGAATGATGGCCAAATGGGGGAAGGTGAGTGTTTAGATAAAGGAAATGTGAAAAACAAAAAAACTTAGCAGTTCATTTTTGTTAGAATTAAAGAAAATCCAAAACCAAATCTGGTACCAAAATTAATCTCTTCTATTCCTTACTATGTAATTTAAATATATATATATATATATATCTTTAAATCTGTTTTAGTTTATATCCTAACATTAAGACATATCTAACAAGGTTGAGTCAGGTCTTATGAACAGATTCTTCTTTGTTGAAACATTCATCTTTTATCCAAAAGACTTTTTGAGCCTGAAACAAACTCACTCTGCATCAGGACATTAAGACATATAGACAAATACCCTTGAAAAATGGTCACTTACTATTGTTTTTTTTTTAATTGCTCCTTTTCTTTAATTGTTTTGCCAGGTTTACAAAAACCCTTTTAACCATGGCAGGCTGAACAACTGGAAAATCTTCTTAGGGGTGGAGAAAAGAAGGTGTGTTTCTCTGATGTTTGCACAGATTTCTACAGGTATTCATGCATCATTTGAACCAGTGTTCCTTTTGTAACGTGTACTTTTTTGTGTGTGTGTGTGTGTGTAGTCACTGGGTGACACGTGTTCTCCTTCCCTCCGGACACCCCCCACAAGGTGATGGTTTGACGTGGGACTTCTTTCTGGTTAAAAATGATTCAATACCTGTATGACAGGAGACAAACTTGTAGCCTGATTGTGCGATTAACCTGTTTTTTTATCTGGTTTGGCTTAACGGATTCTTGCTCGACGGCTCCATATTTCTGAAGACACGGCATAATATCACCTAATACCTCAAAGAACTTCAGTTATGGCTCTGCAGAATATAGAACTAGTTTTCAGAAAGATAATGTTTTTGAAATGGTTTGCTTTCTGCTGGGTATTACTTTCCCTTGCAAGCTGGTTTAACTTGACTCAGAAAATCGTTGCATCATAACTTAGTTTTTTTTTTTTACACCTGTATATTGACTGAACTGTTAAATGTGTAAAGATTTTTTAAGCGTGTTGATTTTATTTTATTTTTTACATTTTTTGCCCATTCAGATTTTTTAAATTTTTATTTAAGAACAAAACAAAATATAGAAGAATATATATGAGCACAGTGGTGAATTTCAATATATCCGATTTCCTTGTTTATTTATACTCTGTAGTCTAAGAATATCATACGGTTAACAAATTAAGCAAAAGAAAACGTCATCTTGTTAAGGTTATTTATCTGCATTTTTAAGTTGATATTAAATATTTTTGTTATTACTTGAAATCTTTTTCAAACAACTTCTTTTTGGGTTTATTTTTTTTACAGTGGAACACAAAGGCGCAACACATCTGGTATAACACGATTAACACTCAGGATTTTGAAAATGTACATGTGACTATAATTAACTGTTGACTATTTTTCAGCATTTTCTACTCATTTTAGCTCCTTTTTACTAAGGAGATAAAATCCAATTCACTGTTATGTCATAGCTAAGCAGACAGATCCAAAAACAAGTGGCTAAAAAGGGATTAAATAAAACACACACTAGATCTAACTTATTTATTGAGTCAGAATTGCAGCACTAAAATTGAAACAGCTGAGAAATTAGGTAGTTATTCTTCCAGATAAGATGTTAATTATTTGAAATACATGTCAATCATTTTTGTAAGTGATTCTTTTGCAACCAGATTACCAAAATAAAACCTTTTTATATATTTTTTATAAATTAAGCACTTTATATTCGGCCCTTAGTGAACTGCTGGTTGTGTTGTTTGCTTAAAAATGGTAACATAAAGCTGTGAGGTAAACAAAGCGATTAAAATATGTTAAAATATTTTATTTGATGCTAACCTTCTCATTCTGCATATATCTCCTTCCTTTTTCCTTTTACGAGATGATACAGGAGCATTAACTTATCCAGCAGATGTCAGTGTTTGAAATAAAAAGCTCTGTCAGAACCTGTGAGGTTAAAGAGATGTTACAAAGACTAGACTTTATAGTTTTGTCTCTGTAAAAAAATATCTGTAATTTTAAACAGAAAACTTTTTTTGTAATTTTTGTCTGCCATTTTCAGTATGTTGGTTCTGAGTAATTTGCAGAAATGTTGCATTTTAAGTTTTAGCTTACTTTTATGAATCATTTTAAGCCTGTATTCTGTGTGATATTATTGAAATAATTTATGGTCTGAATATGAAGCATGTATGCATAAATTTCCTACAACACCTAGAGATGAAGCATACCTCAGGGTGTGTGAGTTACTTTCCTCGTGAACAGACATCTGATGTTAATCATAGGGTTGGCTATTGTTTTTTTATTCTTCTATTTTTTTTTTTTTTTTTTGAGTGTTTACCTTGCACAACTACACACAATGCTACCTTGTCCGTACGCACTTTCAGTGAATCAGCAGAAAAGTTACTCTGTGTTGACTGAACTTTTGAAGGTTAAAAGGTGTCAATGTCAATGTGGATAGGATTAACATGTTCTCAGACAAAGATACAACACAAGCCAGTGTAAATGTAAATGCATTGGTTACTGACAGAACAAAGCAAATCTGAGATGGCACATTTCCATTCTAGAGTATAATATGGACTTTAACTCTTTATAAAAATAATCAAGATCAAAATGTTTGCTAAAATTACTGAGGAAGGTGTGTTTTCTGCTTCAGTGGAGCGGGCGCAAGAACAAAAGTAAGGCAGACGCATGTGTAATCAGATAACAAAACAAAGACAAACTAAGCAAAATGGAACACAGGACTGGGTAAAGGTTTCCATCCCTTTTTATTATTATTATTTTAAAAAAGTTTGCCTTCATGGAACCAGATTTTCTTAGAATTTCAAGACATTTGTCTAGTCTGTCTTTTTTCCACATACACTTCAATTAAAAAATAAACCATTTAAACAGAAATGAAATAAAAAGGTATAGACTTGCTAATTTCTTGACGTTTCTTTATTTCTAAAGCGTTCATACTTTATTGTGAAAGAGTTTTTTCTTTGTTTCCGGGTTCTCTTCCTGAACTTCCGGTGTTGCGCAGAGAAAATCATCCCCGAACAAATTTGTGCCCCCGACTCGGGAGCGTGCATGAAGCATGATAGGCGTATCTTAATGGTTACAAATCAATTTAAAACAAATATATCTCTAAATATTTAAGAGTGTTAATTTACTGTGTGAGTGGTGTTAGTTTATGTTGTGAGTGTCATTTACTGTCGAATTTAAGCTTTATTGTGCGCGCTCTTGAGAAAGGAGGAGCTCACGCATGCGCAGAGAGTCGGAGCTTTAAGTCTACTGTGAGAACGGATTCACCGGTTTTCACCGTGTAATTTGAACTGATGAAATGGGGATTTTGATTACTTTCTTTTAAAGGATATTTAACCATAAACTGAAGATTCTGCAGCGTCGGGAGAAAAGCAGCCCAGCTGAACTTCACAAACACACTTTTCCCTGTTTATCACGTCAGGATAACGTGATAATCTTTTCTTCCATCCAAGTTCAGATGTGGCAAGCAAACTGCAGACGGATGCATAATTTAGCAGAATGGATTTCAGGTAGGTAAAAGCTATTCATGCAAAATAAATAAATATATAATAGTAAATTGCGACTAATCATCAAGTCGCCTGACTGATGTCTGTTGATTTAGTCTAACATGATGTGCATAAAATAACATATAGCAGGAAAATAATAGATTATTTTCAACATGTGAGTGGAAAATCAGAGCACGAGAGGCAGGATGTTCAGGCGCGTGTCTCCCCCATCAGCTGGCAGTACACGTGACGTAAACAGGCAGCCTGTCTGACCCACAGGAACAAGGAGTGCTGAGCTGTCACTTTACTCCCTGAGGAGGATGTGTGCACAGGATTGATGCTTCATCATGCACTCTTTGATTTTTAACTCTCGTGACACATGAGGATAAATTCTACTCTAAATCATGCCCAGCAGGAGTCAGATAGGCTGTAACTTTCTCTCTTTGGGTTGGGATGCAGGGACAGTGATGGGGGGCTGTGTGGGGAGGAGCAGGATGGATGGACAGGGGAGTGCTCGAGGCTCGACGAGGAGCAAAAAGAGAGGAGGTAAGAAGACCTTACAGCTCCCCTTTGCTCTGCTGGAAAGAAAAATCACAGATTTGCTACAACATGAAAGCAGAAACAAGTGTTTCTACAAATTAATGTTTTGCATGTTGCTGTTAAAACTGCAGAAGGGCTGCTTAGTCTTGTTGCTGCTTTATCACTATTATAATAAATTCAATATTATGTGAAATAGCACCGATATTTTCAGAACACATTCCATGCCTTTTACTGCTTTGGTGGAAGATTGCATTATCTATTACCAATTACATTTGTGATAAAACTGTGACTTGTGTAGCATGCCATTTTATGAAATATAAATCAAACTTATTTATATAATATCTCACGTAGTGTGCATAAAACAGCCAGACTTCTGCTGTATGAATTGTGATTGCAGTTAAGGACTTTAAAAGAATTGCTGCAGATTCTAGATTAAACACAACATTTGAGGAAAAAGTTAAACAAAACCTCAAAGGTTTTTTTTTTGATTAAGCAGACAAAACTTTTAAAATGTCATTGCACTCAAAATAACATGTTTTCCCCTTGTATTAGAAGAAAGCTACAAGAACACAGAGAGAAAAACAATACATGCATTTTAATTATAAACTTAAGCAGCAGAAGTTTACAAGTTAAGATCCTAACCAAAGTTTAGAGAAAATAAAGTAAAAAAAAAAAAAACTGTGTTCAGATTAGTACTTTGCTTATTTTTGAACCAGTTTCTATAGAAATATGCCAAGTTAACTATCTGCTCATTTTAAAATAAGTCATCACTCGTAAGTAAAAATACAAGTAAGTTGGAGACAAATCACTCATCCAAACACAGAGTACCCTTAAGTTTTCTGGTTAGTTGTACATTTTATAATGATTCTTACAGTCCTCATGCGTCAAATCCATCTAGGATCAGTGGATAAACCTCTGTAGAGCCGTGTAGTTCAGAAAAAACGTCTAAAAATCACTCAAACAGGATTTTCATTTACATCTGTCTTGCACAATAGTAAAAATCAAAATTAATCAAGTACTTTTTTTTTTTTTTACAAAAATATAATATTTTAGTCAGAATCTTTAACATTTATATGTATATATGTATTGCGTAGCATCGCCAAGAGAAACTAATAAGTATATTTCCACGTGACCCATTCAGTGAAGGTCATCCTCGGCCTGAAGCCGGTTCCTGCAGGTGCTGAATGTCTCATCTGTTGGTTTAGTCTCATATCTAATCTGTGCTGATGATCTGCTCACATAGGACAGATTATATAAACGCCATTCAGTCCATAAGCTTATGAGCAAGGCAGCACTGGAGAGTTTTCATATTAAAGAGCCACTGAATCGCTGCAGAGTTTTCCTTTTGATGATTATGAGCTAAATCTACACAGCGGGACAATTCGGAACGGATAAAGTTCATCCACTGACATTTTGTGAGTTATTAAAAAATTGTAGATTTCCACCTTTTGGGGGACATCAGAAGTACGGATGCTCCTGTGTTTTTTCCTTTTTTTAATAAGTCTGAGCTGAGTTTATAATGTGTTAACGTCTTTAGTATGCTGCCTCTGGGTGTTTTTAACCTGTCCTTAAATAGACTTGATAGGATTAGACCTCTTGTGTAAAGAGACTACCTTCTGGCAAGGACATTCAAGGTACTCTCTCACTATAATGAACTTGTTTCCATGAATTGCTCCTGCAGTATTTTAGAGGAGGTTATGATTATTTTTTTTTTAACTAGAAAGACATAAAAGTGGCGATGATGTTGGCATTTTAAAGCAACGGGGGATGTGTTACAACAACAGTTAACTATGCAACGAATGGGAGTCTGGGCTTTGTGGTAAACAAGATCAGGTGTTCTGCAGCGAGCGCAGACGCGACACGTTTTCTGTGAGGTCACTCGGCGTGCCTCGTGTCCGGAGGACTTTTGATGTGCAGAAGTTTGGTTCGCGACAAACCTGAAACACTGAACAGTCATGGGGGTTCCTAATTCCAGGGAGTGTAACTACCATCAGGCTCCGACTGCACCACTTAAGATGTTGCTGAAAAGTAAGTATAGATTTTAATCTGAGGGGAAAAACAAAAGTTTTATTTTATGCAGGTTATAGTTGATTTTGCAACATTTAGTCCTGTAGATGATCAACAATCAGACTGTAAGGGTTTTACAATTATTGTGTTGGTTTGTTGTTTAAAATGTTTTGTTGTTTACTTTGCACACGGCTGAAAACGGTCGTGAAATGTCTGGAAAATTATGGGATTGGATTTTATCTTTTTTTCCAGGTCTGGATATAGAAAAACATCAACATATTATGAAGCTAAACATTAGTTTTAACATAAGTTTTTTTTTTGTTTGTTTGTTTTATTGTCTATAAGATTAAGTTCTATTGTTTTAATTGCTCAGACAAAAATATAGCTTTTTTTTTTATATATTTAAAAGATAGACATTTACCATGTCAAACCCTGATTTGAAGGATTTATTAATAAGTGTTCTTGCTTTTGAGTTTCTGTTTGAAAATCTTTTGACCACACGTGGGCAACATATGGCCAGAGGGCCAGAAGTGGTCTTTGGACAATCGCCACCGGTCCCCTGACGTCTTTAAATTAAACAAAAGTCTTTAAATTAAACAAAAGTGAATGCAAATTACACATTTTGTACATATTTACATACATATGTACAAAATGTGTAATCTGTGTGTACATCTAAAAACTTTGGACTAAAACAGGCTCGAACATTTTCTTGTGCTGGTCGTTTATGGTTCCAGAACCAAACTAGACATGAATGCTTCAAAAAGAAAACAAATATTTGCAGATTTTGCTTTTTTATTTTTAAACAAAATAAATATTTAGTTTATGTAATGTTTATCTGATATTCCAACAGATTATCAGGGAGACATTTTTTTACTCCAACTTCTCCAAATAAAAAATGGAAAGAAAACCCATTTCTCATATTATTTGTATGGGAGAAGGTTTTTTCAGGTTAGTATGCATTGAAAAGCCTGGACCGGCCACAGTCGGTCCAGGCCCGGTATTTCCCGTTTTTTTTTTGTTTGTTTGCTTTCTGCAGAGTGCCGCCTCAATGTAGGCGAGATCATCGTAGCAAGACCGCACAAATTTCAGCTCAGTAACTGCACCTCGTCTTTTTTCTAGGGCACTGGTGTTGTCATTGTCATTTTCCCAAAGAAAAATCGGAGCTCTCTCTATCACAGAACCAGCCACATGGAAGTAGTTGAAGGAAATGGCGGTAAGGAGCAGCCACTGGCAGTATGACTCCTCTGTGATGTGACACCCCCCCCCCAGGCCAGCAGTCTGCCCACGTCCAATCTGCAGCACTGGTCCAAATGGAACCACAGGTCTCTGGATTCCAAAAAAATCAAGCTGGAATTGGGCCATACTATCCAATGCCAACACTCGAATCCGGGGGCAGTAAGGGCCATATGTAGCTGGAAATCAGTCTCGTAGGCAAAAAGATTGTGAATCCCAAGTGGCTTCTAATAGTCTTGCGTGGTGTATCACTGAAAAACTGCAAATTAATTCCACTTTAGTAATACGTCCCAGTAATAGGATACAATTTGTAAAGCTAAAGCGTGCAAATGTTTTCTTGCTATATATTTCTACTTATAAATTCATGATAGTGAAAGTACAACTTAATCAACACTCACAAGAGATTTACAGATTTTTCATTGAGTCACTCGTCATTTTGATGGACAATTATAACTTCAAAAAGTCAGATCATTATTTCTGACAGTGTGTGTGTGTTTTTAGCATTTCACACATTACAACCGACAATAATTAGTCGTTTTTTCCCCCCTTCAGATTGCAAATCCTGTTCTGTTATAGAGTCCTGCTGAGTAGTAGTTTCCATCCACCAGGGCTGTTTGAACACGAAGGACGAGAGAGAGAAAAAACTATTGAAGTGGCTATTAATAGATTCCAGGGACTGCAGTTCGACTTAAAGTTGAGGACACAAAGTCACAACTGATTCCTGTGAACCCAAACAGTCCGACTCACAGATTTATCCCAGCAGGATGCTCCAGGCTGTCATTGAATGTCATCGAGTGTGCATATTCTGCAAGATATGCAGCAAAACTAACTAAATAAATAAAGCACGACCCAAACAGGACAGTTTTTATGATTTAAAATTGTCCACCAGTTAGCCTAACGCCCGTTAAAAGATAATTTAGCATTTGTTTTGCTGTGGTGGTGTTGAGTTTTATTTTGTAGTTTGGTCACTAAGCTTGACATGGACTAAGCTTGTGTAAAAAATGTGTTAAAAAGAAAGGAACAGTGATTAGTGATAAAATCCAAGGCACTGACAGGGGATAATATAATTTTTTTAATCATTAAAATAATTTTATATACGTTTTAAAGGATGTCCAAACTGAAACTCAAGCAATTGCCTCGCACGTAAAGGTCATTGTTTCAACCTGCTTTGGTGCCTTGATTATATTAGAGTACATATTTTATAAATTAACCTTTTCATATTAAAACAAGATATAAGCTGTTCTGCATTTAATAAAAACATGCAAATTGTGTTTGACAGATTGGCATTTAAACAGATATTAGCTGGACACATCATTGTGTTACTCAAGACTGTGATGATTGTTGTCAGATTACTGAAAAGTCTGATTATTACATTTATATTAAAATATAAAATTAGTTTGCTGTCTATGGGGTGCCGTTTGTAAAGTTACGCAGTCAAAAATTAACAGTAATATTTTGGTTTATTTAGCCTTTCATAAGAAAGAAAAAGTTTTTTTTCCCCAGTCAGATTATCACCATGTTATTCATACAAATGTCATAGTTCCAAACTAAATGTTTAATTTACAAGCTAAATATTTAGTTTACAAACTAAATACTTATCTTGAAAGTTAAATATTTAGTTATAAAGCTAAATATTTAGCTCCACTCTAAATATTTAGTTGACAAACTAAATGTTTATGTCCAAGTTAAGTGAACTAAATATGTAGGTGTAAATTAAATATTTAATTTCCAAGCTAAATATTTATTTTCAAAACTAAACATTTAATCTCTAAGCTAAACATTTAATTCCTAAATTAAATATTTAATTTGCTAACTAAATATTTATCTTGGACCTAAATATTTGTTTTCCAAGCTAAACATTTAGTCTCCTAAATAAATATTTAACTTGCTAGCTAAATATTTAACATGCAAGTTAAATATTTAGTGTGGAGTTAAATATTTAGTTTGCTAACCAAATATTTAACTTGCAAGTTAAATATTTAGTTTGTAAACTAAATATTTAGCTTGCTAACTAAATATTTAATGTTTGGAACTATGACATTTATATATGTCTGAATAACATAGTGAAAATCTGATTGTGAAAAAAAAGCCTATTTTTTCTTATTAAAGGCATAAACAAAAAAATATTGCTGTTAATTTTTGACTTTACAAACAGGACCCCATAAATGAATTACACTGTAAATGTATGGAGATCATGGGCACCAGCGACCCCCGTGACCCAAAATGGAACAAACGGGTAAAGAAAATGGATGGATGGATGGATGGATGGATGGAGATTTTTTTAAATATTTTTGCAACACAAAAATAAAATGTTGGGTGATATTTAAATTTGTTTTTACTACAATAAAATATAATTTTTAAAACCTGAAATGCATAAAAAGGAGCACGGAAACTATGAAAAAAAAAAGTTAATTTAGTAAAATAATAAGGTATAGATGTTTAATACCATTTGTTATAACCTTTTCAGTGTCACCAAAAGTTATGAAGTACTGCGGGTCGGGTAAAAATAAACTAATGTTCTTTTTCCTCAGTGTCACAAAAGACAACATTCAATATTCAAGACTAAAACGTCAAAAGTTATGTCACATGAGTGAATGTTATGTAAGGATTAAAGTGAACTCCAGTCGTTTTGGAATCACAGGCTGCGATCTGATTAAATAGATGCTTTTAGAAAAACCACAAACTGAAAATGTGATGTCTGAATTGTAGTGGCTTTGTGTTTCCCTCAGGCGGCTGACGGTAAATTTGTGGAGGTTTTCTGCTTCTCATTGGCCAAAGAGCGCTCGCCTCCCCACCGAAGGCCAATGAGATTGGGAGGGTTTGAAGGCAGATAAATCCTGTTATGTGGAACCTGATTACGGCTTATAATCCGCTGGTGTGTGTGTGTGTTTCCATCCACATGTACAGTCTGTGTTACTAGTCTTCAGTAATCCACAGCTCTGTCTGTAAATAACAGATTACCCACCCTCAGTGAATCAAACTAAATTTGATGTTAAACTGGTTTATTTTAATATTCTCCCAAGAAATTGCACTTTATTTTACATTTCGTAAAATTTTCAATTTTCACAAAAAATCTTTTAATGCTCGTCTGTTTTGATGTTCCGATATGCGCTCGTAAGGAGATGCTGATTAACTTAAAACGCACTTGTGTTATTTTCTTCGTTACCGTATGTTTCGCCATATAAGTCGCACCTTTTTGCATAAATTTGCGACTTATACACCAAAGCAACTAATATTTGTCTTCTTCCTCATATTTATAACCCAATTTTTGGCTGAGATCTGACGATTTCGTTCATTCTGACATTAAAAATATTAAATATTACCATTTGCAGCCACTAGAGGCCCCTGGAGCATTATGACATACAAAGTGTCTCATTAATAAGTAAAAGTGGCTATTAATGAGACACTTGGCTTGCCAAAAGAAGTCACCAAAATTTAGTCTCGCTCCAGAACTCCTGGAGCAAATGTCAAATCAGCTGCATTTTGCTGCGTTGCTCAGACAAAATGCAGCTGATTTGACCATTAAAGTGCATTTATTAAGAAAAAATTCAACTGAGACACACTTTTACTATAAAGTCGAACAAACAATTAACTGGTTTTAGGTGGTTATCTTGTTAAATTGTTGTTAAAGTCCTCCCGTGCGCACTCCCGCGGCCACCATTTTGGCAGCCAATCGATTTTTGGCACAACACTGGCCCATATTTCTGGGTGGTCAGCGGTGACGCATAGTAGATGCAACTTATACGGCGAAGCAACTTATTTATGTTTTTTTTCCACTTTATTAGACATTTTTAGACTGATGCGACTTAAACGTTGGAAAATATGGTAGAAACATTTTGGTGCTTTTCTGCTTTGCACAGGTGCTGTAGGCAAGGGAACGTTTTTAGAGCCATCTACACTGCCAGGCCAAAAAACAGTTGCCACCAAAAAAAAGGTCACACGCTAATATTTCGTTGGACCGCCTTTAGCTTTGATTACAGCAGCATTCGCTGTGGCATAGTTTCGATAAATTTCTGCAATGTCACAAGATCTATTTCCATCCAGTGTTGCATTAATTTTTCACCAAGATCTTGCATTGATGACTAGGCACTAGGCATGATGGGTGCATCACTTCACCTGCTTCTCTTCTTACCATGATGCGTCCATCACTCTGGAACAGGGTCAATCTGGTCTCATCAGACCACATGACCTTCTTCCATTGCTCCAGAGTCCAATCTTTATGCTCCCTAGCAAATTGAAGCCTTTTTTTCCCCAGTTAGTGTCACTGAGTAGTGGTTTTCTTAAAGCTACACAGCTGTTCAGTCCCAATCCCTTGAGTTCCCTTCACACTGTGTGTGTGGAAATGCTCTTACTTTCACTATTAAACATAGCCCTGAGTGCTCCTGTTGTTATTCTTTGATTTGATTTCACCAAAAGTTTAAGTGATTGCCGATCACGATCATTCAGGATTTTTTTCCGGCCACATTTCTTCCTTGAAGACCCACTATCTTTCCAGTTTTTAATAATGTGCTGGACAGTTCTTAACCCAATTTTATTTATTTTTGCAATCTCCTTAGATGTTTTCGCTGCTTGATGCCAATGATTTGATCCTTCTCAAACAAACTGACATCTTTTCTACGACCACGCAATGTGTTTTTTGACATGGCTGTTTAAGAAATGAGAAGCAACTCATTTTCACCAGTTGGGGTTAAATAACTTGTTGCCAGCTGAAATATAATAACCCATGCAGTAATTATCCAACAGGAGGCTCGTTCCTATTTGCTTAGTTAAATCCAGGTGGCGACTTATTATTATTTTTTTGGTCAGGCAGTGTATTCACTTACTAAACATTGTTTTAGAAGGTCTTCTTCCATCTACTGGTACCTGATATTGTGGCTGATTCTGGCAGATCCTGATCACCCATTCCATGATGAGTTCAGGTTGCTTCCATCTGGACACAAGTATCTGCTGCCCAGATGTAGAACGAACAGACTGAGAAACTCATTCATCCCTGTAGCGATCCAGATTAACCATGAACAGTGATGATCTATGCACTGTTATTTTAATGTATTGTCTAGTATAGATGTTTTGTGTACCTACTGACTGTGAAACAGATTGCCCCTCGGGGATAATAAAGATTCTTGAACTTGAACTATGGCTCTGTAGGCAAACCAATTCAATATGCTGTCACAATTAACAGAACCTTAAAAACCCAAAAGTGAGTTTTTTGCCCTAAAAGTTGGTGTTTTAGAAGCTGAGTCTGCTCTCCAACTCATATTTTAAATACTAATAATTTTCGCGAGATCTTTAACTAAACTTTGCCTAATTGCACAATATCTCATGAATCATTAATTAAATTGTCATAAAGTAATCTTTTTTTTTTTTTTTAACCTGAATAAATACAGTCTCTTCTCAATATTTATATTTTACAGTGCGCAATGAGCCTCTCAAGAAGGAGCGACCAAAGTGGAAGAGCGAGTATCCGATGACAGAGGGTCAGCTGAGGAGCAAGAGGGATGAGTTTTGGGATACGGCTCCAGCCTTTGATGGACGGAAGGAGATTTGGGACGCGCTCCGAGCTGCGGCCTTAGCTATGGAGTGTAATGACCTGGAGCTGGCGCAGGCTATAGTGGACGGAGCCTGCATTACTTTGCCACATGGTAAAAGGAACTACACTCATTTTCAGACATAAAAACATCCAGATTATAATCTGTAAGTCCTAGAACTTCCTGTCCAAATGCATCACTTGTAGTAATGATTTGAAAGAGCGTTTTGCAGAATCTAGTGCATGAATTCGTAAGAGATTACTGCGGGGATAATTATGTAATAGCAAAGCTGCACGACTACTGACAGTGGATTTATGCGATTATGAGAGAAGCAAAGCACCGTTTTTACATTTGTATGCTCTCGTTGAGAAGCGTTGTTGCTTTTTTCCCTTCGTTTCCTGACAGTGGTCAAAAGAAGGAAGAGCTTTATATGAATAATCGTGCGAGTTTTGGAAAAAGAAGTGATTATGTGAATGTTGTTTTCTCTGCAGGCTCCCTCACAGAGAGTTACGATGAACTGGGAAATCGATATCAGCTCCCAGCGTACACTTTAGCACCGCCTGTCAACCTCATCACTGAAACGTGCAGTGAGAGCAAAGTGTCCGAGTCCTCGCAAAAACAAACTCAGCCTTCACCGTGCAGAGAAGAGTTCCAGCTGAGGGTTCGGCTATCAACAGGTAACAAAAAAAGACATTTTTGTATGTTGTTTGGAAATGTAGAATGAAATATAGAATTAGCTGATTCTCGCAGGAATCACGTGATCTGTGGGTTTCCCAAAAAATGTTGGCCTCTATTATGGAGCTGTCTCCCTATGGATAGGCCTGGGCTGACGATGTTCTTAAGTTGTTTAATGCAGGGGTTCTCTAACGTTTTGGGTTCATGGAGCCCTTACAGGGGAGAAAAAGTTTCAGGGACCCCCTCATAACCCTCATGTTTATTAGATAATTTTCTTAAATTTTTCTCTTTAATGCAATGGAAATATTTGTGCAACATAAATACTTAAGATCTGTTTTTTAATAGTGTTAATACAATTTTTATACTTTTAAACTGGGGGAATTTTTCATTCAAGACACACTTAATTAACAACATTTTTAATTTCAACTTCCAAAATTTACAGTTGTGAGAAAATGAACAGCATCAAAAACCACTTTACCTAGCCACATAATGAACATAATAAATTAAATGTGTTGCCACAGAAAACACTTTAAATATATATATTTCATTA